ACCCAAAACCATCCTGTAAGCTGAGCTATTCCTACTTAAAATTTGACCCTGATAGGTAAAACCCTTATGAACAATGAAAGCTGTCCAGTAACAATGCCGAGGCCCCCCAAGGGCAATTCTGCATTGGGGGGCAGTTTGGGGTCTCGGCTGCCAGAAGGATCCCGTCTCCATGTTTGCTCCTGCAGGAGAGGCCTTTCCGAAGGGCTCTTACTCCGCCTGCAGATGTTTGACTGCTAAAGGGCAGGATAAACTTTTTTGAAATGGTGGCTCGTTCCTAAACTTCCTAGAAGGTGTTTTCAGGTCATCTTTTAGCATGGTTTTACTGTACTTTTTTCAAGCTGACTTTTGTATCGTTTTCTTCCCCCGTTCTTCTGCCTTCTTTGGTGGAAAGGTGAGACATGAATGCAATAGCAAGCGCAATTAAATAACGGAGAAGCGGTGAAGTGGTGTAATGCGCTCTGTGATCCTGCAAACACCAGTGCCGTCAATCGCAGCCAACACAACCCCGATCAGAGGGGATGGAGAGGACTGTGGGGAGCAACTACGGAGGTGAGTGGCCTGTGGGTGGCGGAGGGGAGGTCCTGTGACAAACCAGTGATAATTTGTCCCCCCCATTTGCAGGTTTGGGGGGAGCCTCTTTGTCCTGTGGATTCTAGTCTGGAACAGCATTCCAGAATTTGGGGAGGGGAACTGGAGGGGGCAGGAGCATCCGTGGGGTGTCACAGAAGAGGGCCCCAGCGTGCAGTTCTTCAGTCGCATCGTTGCAGCCCCCATCTTGACTTTTCTGACCCCACGGATGTCCCTGGGACGGGGACTGAGGATCCATCTGATAGTCCTCCCTGAAGACTGGCGGCAGTGAGGGGTTAGGGGACGTTAATGCACTCGGGGACTGGTGCTTCCGGGTCCTGGTTTTTGCTGGAGCTGATTATCGTCTGCTTTCCGAGGGAGAACGTGGAGGGGTGGCCTGGGCCGAGGAGGAAGCAGGAGCAGCTCATCTGGACGTCCCATGATACGGTCACGGTCCATATTAAAAGGTCTGCGTGAAATTAGACTCCGTTGTGGGAGGGGCTTTGTTTTAACTGCAAAGTTGCCCAAAGGCATTCCTGGAATTTTGCAATTCTACAAAAATGTTATACAATGTGTTAAGCGGGGAAAGACGTTGCTCCTTTGACTGCGAGTGTCAGGGGCTGTCCGCCTGCAAGCGCCTAGGAAGAGGATTGCTCGCAGCCCTCGCTGAGCGAGGTCGGGCATCAAGCAGCCATGCTGGGGCTGTAAATCTAGTGATTTATGGTTACGGTGATAACCGGGCAACGGCGTACGTTGCTCCTGTTGGTTTTGTAATAAAACAAATAAAATGTGTGCCGCGCAGGAGAGCACATCCAGTCAGGATCTTTTGATTTACTGAACACTACATGAACAATTCAATTTTCTGGGCTCGCCCAGCGCAGCGTCCCCATAACTGAGCACATGAGCTGGGTTTGCACCCCGCTGGGTTCAGCCAGGGTTGGCTACGTTGCAGTTTGGTGTGTTGTGTGAATCCAGCTTTTGCATTACATGGGAGCAGTGCATTGGACCGATCTAGTTGTATTGGATACGGACCCAGGAAATGTTGCGCATGGCTTTATATAAACGACACCTGTGATTGATTTGTGGCAGTGGGTAAAAGCATCAGTGGTTTGGTTTTCTTCCTCCCACTTAGTCAAGGTTAATACCAGGATCTTGCACTGGGCCCACTGTGGTGTGACTTTCTCTACTGAGTAATCAGGACCGAAAGTCCTCAGCTTGCTTCTTGTTTCTGTGATGATCTGGAAGGCCTCAGTTTGTAGGTTCAGTGACTGTTTGCTTCCAGGTTCCCACACAGGTGTTGGAAAAATGGGGCACCCCAGAAGTGTTAGATTTGCTGCTGCGTTTCACACAACGTGACTGCTGCATTTGGATAACAGGCAAGGACTACAAATCCTATGCCAGGGTCTCAGGAAAGGAGGGAGGAATGGAGATGTTTTGCCCATTGTTACCTTCCCTGCAGGGGTTGGGTGCGAAGTGTTTCAGTTGCCCCTTGCGGCAAATGCCGTGGGTGGAAGTAGCAAGCAGTCCCGATCTTTGCGCGGCGCAGAGGGGTTGCTCGAGCCTGGAGTTCTCAGAGGATGTTCTCCAGTTTGTAGCCGTAGGCCATGACCTGATCCACGAGGTCTGGCAGCAGCTCTCGGTAAAGCAGGATGGGTTTCACAGCCCAATAAGGGTAGAAGACCTCGCGGTAGCGCAGCACTCCGCCCTTCACCACCTGCCGGGCACAGTCTTCTTTGGAACTTGCCTTCTGGGTGATTTTATCGCCCACTGAGTTCAGGGCCATGTCTGCAGAAAAGAGCGAAAATGGGTGGCTGGCCTGAGAGCCGGGTGCGAGGGGTTGGGAAGGTGAGCGTTCTGCCGTGCCACTCACCGGTGTCGATGTAGCCCAGCACGGCCACAGTGATGGGCAGGTCTATTTTCCGCAGGCGCATCTCGGCACGCAGCGAGGAGTAGAACCCTTCCAATGCAAACTTGGCTGCGGAGTACGAGATAGCGAAGGGGCCTGGAATACGTCCTGGGAGAAAGAGGGAGACTTTGATGGGGAAGGGGGAACGACCTGCTCTCCCACAGCCCGTTCCACCTCCTCCATTTTTATGTCCTCGTTCTCTATCTCTCTGTCAACCCCAAGCTCCTCCATGCCCAGCGTAATAATCTTGACTCACCAGTGATGTGTGGGTGGAGAAGTGTTCATGAACAGCTTGTTCATGAGTTAATTGCACCTCTAAATTGTAAAGAAACTTTGTCCCAAGAGTGGTGTGCAATCTATTTAAGCCCACTTACTATAGTAGCATTCTGGAGAAAAAAACCTGTTGCAACAATTATACAGGTAATCCTCAACTTATGACCACAATTGGGACTGGAACTTCCATTGCTAAGCGATGTGGTCATTAACTGAGTTGTGCCTGATTTTATTACCTTTTTCCCACGGCTGTTAAACAAATCTGACTTCCCCCATTGACTTTGCTTGTCAGAATCCCCCTGGGAAGGTCACAAGTGGAGATTGCATGACCCTGAGATGCTGCAACTGTTGTAAATACATGTCAGTTGCCAAGCACCCAAATTTTGATCACGTGACCGTGGGGATGCTGTGATGGTCATAAGTGTATAGACTGGTCATAAGTCACTTTTTTCAGTGCTGTCATAACTTAGAGTGGTTGTTAAATGAATGGTCATAAGTCAAGGGCTACCTGTAATGAGAATAGCAGATAAAATCAACAGTGAAACAAGACTCAATAGATCAAAAATGGCTCCCTAAAATGCACTGAAAAATACAAAGGTCTTTGTGGCTTTGGAAGGATCATGTCATCATCAGGTGAGCTTCTCTGGGGATTAAGTCCAATAAATAAGGGGCCATCCCCTGGTATCTTTGGAGGGGCTGCCTGCAGATGGATCTTGGTAAACCATACATGTAACTGGGAGGGTGCATTGGAGTGAAACTGGTGCAAACTGGTGGGAGTTTGCGAGGAAGGTATGTGAGAGAGTAAAATCTGGCTGCAAAGGCCTGTAAGTGGAGGCAGAGTCGGGATGGAAAAGCAAATGGGCCGAGATTAAAAGGAGATGAGCCAGTGCTGCAGGTGAAGAGGATTGAGGATGGTGAAGGAAAAGAGAAGCAGGGGAGCCATGGAGCAGAGAGGTGGAAAATTAAACTCAGGAGTTAGGAAAAGTATAAAAAGAAGTTGTGGATTTAGGTGCAAGGGAAATTCCCTGAGAGAGAGAGGGAGAGGGAGAAGTGGGGTGGTTTCGTTAGGTTGGGAAAAGGAATAAAAAAAAGGTCAGTGTAGCAAAAAGCCAACTGAGCAGAAAAAGGGAACGAGGCAAAACCCTAACACGAGAATGACTCCCTATGAGTAAGCAGAAAGTAAAAGAGCACTCCTGGCTGGGATTCACTCCCTGCACCTCATAAGGGAGGAGGAACAGCTGGATGATGGAAAGGAACCTGGGAGGTGGGGGGGCTCTTTCCCCAGGAGATCCTCCAGCGACTCAGCCCCAGGGCAGACTGGAGGAAGCTCCTCTCCAGAAGGGGGGATGAAGCCACTGCAGGAAAAGAGCTGGAGGCACCTTGCTTGGGAGCCTCTGGGGAGCCAGCTTCTTGAACTCAGGACAGCCACCCCATACAGCAGGGGAGAAGGCACTCTTGGAGCAGTCTGCTTAGAACCTGGAAGGTTAAAACCAGCATGCGGATCGGGCCCGAGGAAAGCCTGGCAGCTGGTGCCAGGGATGAAAAACTGGCACTAATGGGACATCAGGTCCCGCCTTTCAATTGACAAACGAGTCTAGCATATTTCAGGGGGTGCCTGGTTAATTTTCCCATCGTGTCCCTGACATCAAGTTGCCCCAAGCATTGTGAGAAAACAAATGGCCAAGTAGGCAACAAACCTGGTCTCTCCAGCAAGCAGAGATGCTGGCTCATCCTTGTAATCCCTCCCAGTTCAAAGGCTGAAGTAGCTATGTTTAACAAGGAAGGTGGAGTGAGTAATTGCAAGTTATATGTATAAGTGGTAACCCCCCCCAGAGAAGTAGGTTAATGTGTGTACCTTGGTGTGATGGAATGGAATTATGAAGGCCAAGCTCAGGGAGATAAACCTTTTCTTAGCTCCCCAGAAGAGCATGGGAGGAACAAGAGGATGAGGCTGGCACCTCCCTGAGGAATTCACACTGTTGTTGCCAGGATCTATGCAAGCTAGAAATCATAGTTTCATTTAATTTAGACTAGCAATGCATACTTGACAGTTAAATGTTTAAAGTGTTAATTGGAGGCCTACTTCCTTGTTCCTGCCATCGAAGTTAGGAGAAGGGGGGAGGAAGATGGCAAGCTAGGTGCTGCTGTTATCTCTGCAGAGGCACCAACAAGGTCAAGCAACCATGAGACCCGGAGAAAGGCGCGAGGAATTTCAAGCGGGAAAAGAAAGTAGAAGGGGGGGAAAGGGCTTAAAAGGGAAGGTTTTGCTTAGCAATGCTTAGACTCAACAAACTATAGATGCTGTACATTTCTCTATTAAGAAATCTCCCAAAGACATCCAGCCACAACTGTCAGAGTCTGCACACTCATTCCCAAAGTTCAGTAAATCTTCTGGAGTCTAATTAGTTCCATTAAAGATTTAATATCTTTATTAAATCTT